CAGACAGCAGAAGCAGCTGCATTTAAGAAAACTACATGTAAGTCATGTTCTCAGCTGTTGCACTACAAGAAATAACAAGATTTTTGGTTCAGCTGTCATCATGAAACAGTAACTCGTATAAAAAATTCCCATTTTGAGTTTTCACTTTCATTCCTCATACCTCCAGAGTCTATGCACAGCTGTATAAAGTTGCAGTGTACCTGAAGAGGTAGAGCTATACAGGTATATAACCCATGCATGCTTTTTTTTTTTTTTTAATTCATATGTTTGCATATGTTACATTGTCTGTCTATATTAGCATTTTTATCTGAACAAGAAAGATTCAAGACACACCAGCCATAATTCCAATTTATAAATTACTTCACAGAATATTATAAGAATACTGACTTTTAAAATATAGACATGTAATAAACTAGGCAGAGATCTTATGACAATTCTGATCATTTTCAGGTTAAACAAATGCACAATTTATTATAGCTGGCTAGCATGAAAAAAGGTATAAAGTTGACAATGAGATGAACTACTTACTACGAACAGATAATAAAGCTCTGGTTTTACTGTCATTATGTTATAATTTGACTTAGGCATGACAAATCAGAACACCATATTTGTACGTTTTGGAAGTATTTCATCTAGAGCTAAACTTTTACTGAAATATTTTATCCCACCAAACCGTTTTGCCAAATTAAACTGAGCAAGCAAAATATCTCTAATGTTAACTATACTAGCTTATTTTAAACCAACCCCACAGTTTTCTTCCCTGCCTACATCCAAACGTATTCAGTCTTACTGCATGTAATATGCCACAAAGAAGTCTTGGGAAAAACAGGCATCAGACAAGTTATAAAACACACACAGTAAATTTAAACTTCAAAGAGTAGGTGGAAAACCAGAAATTAGAGCCTCTGCCCTTTTTGTGATTCATAAAGTTAGCATAGCAGCTGTTCTCAACAGGTTAAATTCACTGCCCTGAAGCCTAAACTGATAACAGTAATTACAGTTTACAGAATGACTAGCAGGTTAATTCTAACCTATACCCACACATCTTCAAAGCAGGTAACCGCAGGAGTTACTACCCTATCTAAGGTACATCTTTCTCTTACTAAGCACTGCTACAGTTTATTTCAGCTTGATTAGCATATGAAGTTCTGCCACAAGTCCAAAGACAACAGGCATCACTGTAAACGGCATGAGCTAGCAGATGGCTACGGAAGGGGGGGGGGGGGAAGAGTACTGAACTGGGTCCAAGCAGGTTCAGATCGTCTCTGAATGTAAACATGTGAGTCATTTCGCAACTATCAATGTAATTCTATCTAAGAATGCCTCTTGGCAAACATAAGGTCACTTACATTTCAATACATGTGTACCAACCAGATTTTTGACAGCCAGATATTTATTAAATTCCCAATACTTAAAAAAAAAAAAAAAGAACCCTACCTTATAGAAGAAGTAAAACTGCAAATGAATATAAATTCTACCAAATGCACGCATTCTGCCATTTCTAGCTCATAGAAAACACCAAGTATGAAGGGACACAGAACGTTCATCAAGAAGAGAATATTCAGAGGAATAAGGTGTGCCGATTGAAACTACAGCAGTCATTTGACACCATTTTTTAAGTGCCAGACTGGCCAGAATAGCACATGTGAAGAAAAAAAAAAGGGTAAGTAAGTCTTGTAAAATTTACTAAGAGAATTCCACACTCTGCTTGGTATGAAAACACTGTGTTTTCAATCTATATAAAAATCATCTTGTCAGCACTCACATTAGAGCCAACATAAACTGCACCTTGCCACAGTACAGGCAAGACATAGAGGCATTTTTTTTAATTATTATTTTAAACTAGGGCACTAATTTTGTTAACCCAGCAGCAAAACCAGAATTTAATCCTTCTAGCGCCGAACTAACAAAAGCACAAGCAGCCTGTTTTCAGAAAGACTTCATGTTCCTACCGCAAAAGTTGCGAACAGAGATAGTATCTTCCGTAACTTGCTTGAAACGGCAAGAAAAGAAACAGGTGGTCAAGCGCGCATTTAAAAAGAAAACAGCTCGATTCATACAACTCGGAAAGCTTCTAAGAGGACAGAGGAGCTCTGGGAAACGAAACCACCTTTGTCCCGGTTTCCCGTTTCGGAGCACTGCGTGGCCTTGTGCAAGAGGCCGGCTGAGCCCGCCTCGCTCCGGCCCGGAGGCC